CATTATATGACTATAATAATGGCTGTATTCCTTCACATTCTATTTCTTTCATTTACTGAAGCCTTCTTTATACATTATCTGAGGCCTTTAAAAAGTAAATAGGTGTCAAAGCAACGGCAAAAATTATGAGGTTATATTTCTGTAGTGCTTTTCTCCATACACAGAGGCATAATTATATTTATTATCTGACAATATCTTTGTGATATAAGAAAGAGCAGATCTTGAGCTTTACTGGGAAGACTGAAGAGAAAAATGGATGGTCCCATATATATTTTTACTACATAAAGTAGCTTTTTACTACATTCGTGTTAAAAAGATTAATACACTGACTCAATTATAAGTATATGCTTTCATACTAGGGCAGAGATGTTAAGAGGTTTCTGAGTTGTAGATCAATATTCTTTCTTAGGGGGCAGCTTTGTTGAGGCATAATTGGCATACAAATGAGCTGTACATGTTTGAAAGTGTACAGTTTGATGGGTTTGGACATGTGCATATACTCATGGCACTATCACTACAATCAGGTAATATCAAATGGCAATGTATTTTGGACTGTTTAATTGTATGGGGCCCAAAATATTTATTGATGTAAAAGTAACAATCTTTCTTTCAAATGACTTTTAATTATTTAATTTTCTGTCATAACGGAACTGAAGGAATTAATAAAGAGTAAATACAGCAAAACATTAAAAAAATTAAAATAGCATACCTTATTTATCTTAGAATTTCTATATGGAGAAACAGATGGATCCTGATTTCAAAGTAACTTATCTCAGGTAATAGAATAGATTTAGAAGCAGAACCATGGTCAGAATATAAATTTCTAATTATCTATACAAATCTGCCTAAGGATCTAGCCCAGGAAATTGGATAAAGATTTATTTATTTATTTATTTATTTTTTTTGCGGTACGCGGGCCTCTCACTGTTGTGGCCTCTCACATTGCGCAGCACAGTCTCCAGACTCACAGGCTCAGCAGCCATGGCTCACGAGCCTAGCCACTCTGCGGCATGTGGGATCTTCCCGGACTGGGGCACGAACCCGTGTCCCCTGCATCGGCAGGCAGACTCTCAACCACTGTGCCACCAGGGAAGCCCCTGGATAAAGATTATAAAACCAAAGGAATATTACTCCCTGATCAAAGGTGATTTCCTAAGATGACAGAAGCCCTGAAAAAGTGTCACATGTATTAGAGCACCTGGCTAAATGGGAGACCTCCATTCATGCAAGGACAAAACTAGGTAAATTAATGCATGAACATTAGAACACAAAGCTTTCTTGTACTTAAGGGTTTCTTTCCAAGTGCTTTTAATGTGAGAATAATACATTAAATTCTAAAATAAAGTCGCAGTAGTCAGCAAGTGTTAGACTTGCCAGATTAATTCATAGAATCAGGAAATAATACTACTGGAAGCTTTACTTAAGAATGTACCTAAGTGCATGCACACATACCTTTTAAGAAAGAATATGATTATAAAAATGCAACTGTGAAAACACAGTTAAGGAAAGCTTATTTTGAGATTTTAATTTATGTCATATTTATATGTAACCATATTGATTATAGGCTTTAACTCTAACACAGTATTAAAATTCATATTTTCAGGACTTCCCTGGTAGCACAGTGGTTAAGAATCCGCTTACCAATGCAGGGGACACGGGTTTAATCCCTGGTCTGGGAAGATCCCACATGCCGTGGAGCAACTAAGCCCGTGTGCCACAAACACTGAATCTGCACTCTAGAGCTGGCAAGCCACAACTACTGAGCCCACGTGCCACAACTACTGAAGCCCACGGGCCTAGAGACCGTGCTCTGCAACAAGAGGAGCCACCGCAATGAGAAGCCCGTGCACCACAACGAAGAGTAGCCCCAGCTCGCCACAACTAGAGAAAGCCCACATGCAGCAACGAAGACCCAATGCAGCCAAAAATAAATAAATTAATTAATTTAAAAAACAGGCTTAAAAATTCATATTTTCAATTTGTAGATTTGGATAGGAAACAAAATGAAACCATGAATAGCTATATTTTTCTCTTACAAATGTAAAATTATTATTTTTATATAGCACTGTAAATTTATTAAAGGTCTTCTCATTACCTAAGTTACTTCTTAGAAGCAACTTGAAGGATGCACAAGGCATTTTATCCCTGGATTTATGATAAGAAAATGGAGTCACTGAGGCTTAAATAACCTCATTGCTAGTAACTGAAATTGAGTCTTAATACTTCCCTGTTTACTTTGAAATATAATATTCCAAAGCATTCGTACAACCATTAGTGTTTCATATTATGAGCACCTAGTATTACTGTCAAAATTTGTATTAAAAATAGTAAATTCTTCTTAGTGAAGAATTCCAAGTAATAAAAGTAGTACTAATCAGGGAAATAGTCACCATTAGAACACCACAGTAAATACCTGTTGCCTATAGGCAATATCCATCAATGGATGCTAAAATTAGTGTGAGGAAGCTTGAAAAGAAACAGGATATTTGTATAGTTGCAAAGTATCTTCCCCTCCAGTACTTATATTCTCAAAGGGAAAAAGAGTAACTTAACAGTGTAGCAACTAAGCATTAACCACCTTAACCAAGTGATCATGGTAATATCACCAATAAAAAGACAACAGACATCTTGTTACCTCCGGTACAGTGCACTGGGAAGGACACGCCACTTATGTGGCAATCTTTCCAAAAAATGCGTAGCCTCAATCTAATCATGAGAAAACATGAGACAAACTCAATTGAGACATTCTACAAAATATCTAACCAGTGTCAAGTTCATGAAAGACCAGAAAGGATTGAGGAACCGTCACAAATCAGAAGAGACTAAGGAGACATGATGACTAAATGCAATATGGAATTCTGGAAGGAATCACAGAACATACAAAGGGCACAGGTGGGAAAACTGGTGAAATTCTAATAAGGTCTGCAGTTAGTAATAGTGCCGTGTTAATATTAATTGCTTGGTTTTGATCATTGTACTATGGTTACACAAGACCTTAACACTAAAGGTATCTGGAAACTCTCAATTTTTGTAACTTCTCTGTAAGTCTAAAATTATTTTAAAATAAAACAATAAAAAAATAAATAACATGGCTCATTCTGAGACTAGAAGAAAAACGATAGCAACCAAATGATCTCTTTTTTTGGGAAGTTAATTTTAACTGTCTCTCAGATTTAGGGAAAATCCAGGTATTTCTAGATGATATAAGAAAAATTAAATTCAGAAAAGTAATACATATATTACTATAAAAGTAATATATAATTCTCTAATTATGAAATAAAAAGATTTTTAGCCTGGCTAACTTTCATATAAATAGATTGAAATAAGCTCCAGAAGAATCTTCTTTTTGTGTGTGTGTTAAGAAATCATTCTTTTAAGATTCAAATCTTTCTTTACCTAATTGTATTAAGTATTTCAAAGGCAGACAAATAAATCAACACAGCACTGTTTATGTCTAATACAGGCCTTAACCATACAACTCTATTTCGGTAATTTCCTACTGCAATTCTCTTACTCCTACTAGTAGATCATGAACTATGTACGAAGGCAAGAACCATCTACTGCCAACTTCATAGCCCTAGTCCATCATGGCTCTTCAGATGGGGTGGGAGAATAATAATTACTAGCTCAAAAATGAATAAAAAATTAAAATAAAACATCTTTCCAGTTAAAAGGAATTACTTTCATATATTTAAAATGCTTTTTAATTATAAGAAACAGTCCCCTGGGAAAATTATATATAAACTTAAAATTAAATAATCCTCACTGTATTCTTTCAAATACAATATTTGAAATCTTGTACTCTTTCAAATCTCAATATTGCCAATATAGCTTCTTTCTAATCTGGGTTACATTTTACCCATATGATCTAGTCACATATAAGTTTATCCTTTCCTTCAATTTCTGTTTATAATTTGTGTCATTCTGGTGAGTTAACTTTTTAATAATTTGCTTCACTCAAACATATTTTGGTGATTCTAAGTTCTACATCAAGTACCTGCCTTTACTATAATAGTCACTGGGGACATGGTACAAATAATCTAAGAACTATGAGCTTTAGATAGTTATGTGGTATTACTTGTGCTACTTAAAATAAATAATAATGCCTTTGGCCAAATGCTGTACCACTGTTCTGTATTGGAATACGTATTCTTTAAGGCTAGATATTACATCTTATGCTTTGATATATCTCCAGTGACTGCTATAGAACCTAGTAGATAAAAATATTCATGCTTTCCAAAAGCGTGAGGCTACACAAGATATATGCACAAAGCAAATTTGTTAAGCCAAATTTAGTGTACATTATTAAAGGTAACAATCAAATTTCTGATCATGTTCACTGAATCTACAATGTATTTTATTATTGTAAAAAGAAGACAGATTCGAGAGTTCCAATTGTTATTTTGGAAATTGAATATTACATGTTTTACAGCTGAAACAGTTTTAAACTAAAGATCTTCAGTAAAAAAGCTTTTTTGAAGCTATTCTAGAGCTTTATTTAAAAAATCACAGTACAATAAAGAAATATTTAACCTGTATAAAAAGGAGGATATTATTCTGATCAGCTTTTTGATCAGTTTTATCAATACTTTAGATTTTCTGTACCTAAACATAAGAGCAAAACCAAAACCAAACAAGAATTTGCATTTAATACTATTCAAACCAACGTATGAATAATGTCTATACAAGTCTCATATATAGGGCCTAAACACTTAAATATTTTAAAGGGTATGCAGTGTAAAAATGGACATTCTATCCTGTGTACTTCTAGATAAGTGCTATGGCAACATTTCAGTTTTGCTTGATGTGAAGTACTCTATTAAGGAACACTAGTTACGATCATGTTTGATTGAATTTCCTTCTCAGACAAAAGTCCTAAGTGAAACTTAATTTTATTGGCTAACTGGCCAAAGAAAGCATTAAACAACAACAAGAAAACTCAACTCAGGAGAGAGGGAATAAGTACCAAGTGAAAATATAAGCTTGATAACTGCCCTTACCTTCACTTTTTTCTGCTTGTTTTGCTGCATTTTCCATTTTCTTTTGTTTTGCTGCTAAGAGTTCCCGCTTTAACTGTCTTGCTTCTTTTCTGAGCTCTTCGCTATAAAGCAAAAACAATTATATAAGTATATAATAGACCGAAAGAGAAAGTTGTTTAGCAGAAACAACTAAATCTAGTTGTCAGGTACACTAAATTTCTAAGAAAAACAAAGTGAATAATGTAATTAATTTTGTTTCTGTGTATGTGTATTTGTGGTATGGAAACATACTTAAAGGATATATTAAAAGTTGTGATTTTCATAATAGCAATATAATATGAGTCACTATGAAATATAGCCCCCTTCAAATATATCAAACAGTTAGTTGGTAAGTGATAAATGAACTACTGTTCTCCCTCTAATTTACTTGCAAATTTAACATTCTAGTTTCAGTTTAATAATTCATGGAGATTCCAAATCAAAACAAACTTTTTAATATAAATACTATTCACTAAACCTGGGCATACACAAAAACATTTGGCTTCGAAACTTGTTGAATTCCTGAACTGGCACTAATAACTACCACTTATTAAGCAATTATTATATGCTAGGAGCAGTGCTAATTTTTTTAAAGTCAATTAATTTTTAACCCATTTGATATCACAATTTGCCAAATAATTTCCTCTCCTGTGAAACCTATCAGGCCGAGGTATTTTGATAATTAATACAATCATATATTAAAGGCAAATGGAGATGTAAGTTGTTGGCTTCACTGCAAGTCACTTGTTAAGCGACTGGTTTCTACAGGCCACTTTTAGGGCAGGAGATTCAAATTCAAGGCTTGGAAAAAATTATTAACTGCCCATGTCATTAACCCTGAGGGTCACTTGTGAATAGTTAAAACTATGCATTTTATATTTGTGAATGTCAGGCACCCACTCTATTTTCCACAAGCTAGAGTGGGTCATGGAGACTAAGAACACGGTAGCCCAAGGAGGCACCCCATTCTGGAATGTTCTCTAAAGATAATCAAGGTTTAGCAAAATCCTAAGTCTAAAGAGCTCCCTACTGATTCAGCCTTTAGTGCTTCCTCCTAAATCCCAAATCTCATACTTTTTTACTTCTGTCCTGTATTAGAGTCACCAAACTGATAGGTCTTACAATGTGCATTACTCAGTTCTTTTCACCTTTTTTCCATATCAAACACACACAGCTTGGCCTCCAAGGTCTTCAATTCTGAAACTTCCCTCTCTGATCAAAATCCATTACGTTTTTAGCTTTCTCAGTCTTTCATTCCTACTAAACTTATGCTCACTCTTCTAATAATGAAAGCCAGCTCCTTAATCGTAGTTCACATTCCACCAGTCTATTCTAAACCAGTCGTCTCTCTATCCATTCTGGATGCTATGGTCAGTCATTTCACTGATGTCCTCACCAGAACTCTTAATTTTCTTGATTTGTTTGGCCAGATGGATACATCATAATCACCTAGAAGAACTTGTTAAAACATGTTTGGGGAGACACATCTCCAGAAAATATTATTTCTTTAGATGTGAGATGTTGCCTAGGAATTTGCTCCTGTGACAAGTTACCCAGGTGACTCTAACATATACTCAGGTTTGGGACCCAATGCATTAGGACCTTACTATAGAAATTATCTTCTCTTTCTTGTAACTTCAAGCATTCCTACTTCACTAATCCTTTCATTCAGCCAACAGCATGCTCAAATTTCCCTGTACTCTGCTCCAATCAAGAGATTGCTATCTTTACAAGTGAACTCCTAGCTTGAAAGAATAGTTTATATACAGAGTCTAATTCATCAACCTCTAACTTCTTAATCTCTTGCAATCTATCCTTCTTATACTCTATTGAAACTGCTTCTATATCAATCAAATTCAATGTCCTTTTCTCAGTCCTCCTCTTCCTCTTTGGCCTTTCTATCATTCAATGATAAGAACTACATCTTTCTGAAATTCTATCAGACTATGTACCACTTTAGAGTCTTGATTCTCTAATTCTCCTCCTAATTACTCTTTCTTTTCTCATCCTATAATTGTTGGCATCTTTCTCATTTCTATACCCTGTATGCCAGCATTTTATCTAATCTTATAACATAAGCTATCACTTTTATAATGGGTTATTTCCAAACCTAGACATTTTGCCCTACATTTCTAACTATCTATTACAAATCTCTGTGTACATTACTGCTGTCCAACAGAAATATAAGGTAAGACACATATACAATTTTAAGTTTCCTAGCAGCCACATTAAAAAAAAATGATGAAAAGAAATGGGTTAAATTAATTTAAAAAACATATTTTATTTAACTCAATAACTCAAAATATCCAAGATATTATTATTTCAACATGCAACCAATATGAGAATATTAATATTTTACATTTTTTTTTGTACTAACTCTTCCAAATGCAGTGTACATTTAACACTTACAGGACATCTCAATTCAAACTAGCCCCATGTCAAGGGCTTAGATCCAGAGGGATGCTTGAGGCTAGATGTCACAAGAATTACAAACTCTCTATGTCAAAACTCCAAGCCATCTCCTTCCTGGCCATATCTGTCCCTTCTCCTGAAGTCCCTATTTGATTGTGAAACCATTTTCCTCCTAATGACCAAACTCTGCACTTCCCCTGGGACTGTTCACCCTCTCTTTCACTGAATTACCGTAGAGGTATGTCATCTTCCAATCTCTCTCACATGTAACTGCTCCTCTTGACTCTCATCATCAATGCCTAGTTTAGGCTCTCATGATCTATTTCTCCGATAAATGTAATTACTTCCTAGCTCTTGACGTTATGTGAAAACAAAGAATAGCAACCACATCTTTGCTCCATCCACTAAATACCCTTATCTTTTTATTATACTAGTTAAAAAACTTTTTACTTTGGTAAGTAATTCAGGAAACTCAGATGATATTTTCTGAAGACTAAGGCCTTGAGGGGAAGATTACTTTGAAAGTTGAAGAAGAAATGCTACACGATGGCTGAACAAACCAGTTATTAGAGACATCTGAAGTATGCAAAGAATGAGAGGCAATGAGACTATAACTATTGTAGAGTCAGTAGAGCACAGTCATTAAAAATATTAACTTAGGGTTCAGAAAGTCCTGATTTAAAAGCCAACTCCATCAGTTATTGTCTGGGAGACCTAACAACAATTATTTAACTTCTCTGAGACTCAGCTTCCTCAACTATAAAATCAGAGTAAGGTATCTGAAATGTTGGGCATTCAATAAATGTTCAACAAATGATGGCTATTATTACTTAGATCTTATGTTCGAAACAGTACTACAGTTAAGGGCTGTTTGTCAAGTAGGAATATTTCCTTATTATATTATTTATTATAAACGAATGCTACCTCTACTCCATATGGAGATCAACCCTGTTTGTAATTTTTAAAAAGGGCAATGAATGTGTAATGCCAGCTTCTAAAAATCTATCCTTAAATAGTAAAAGATTTAGATACGCTATTGAAGTAGTCATAATAATATACAAACTGAACAATGATGAATAAGAACTCAAAAAAGACAAAGTGAGACAGAGAAGGTTTAGGTCTTTACAGATTATTAAAGTATGTTTTCATCATACTGAATTTTTCAAGTAATTAAAAATTTACAACATTGCCAAAATCTTTCAGATATTCAAACAACACCATTTGTTAGTACTTGTGGAATCCATAACTCTTGAAATGAAGTGCAAGTTTTTAACCTAGTCTTTAGATCACAGTCTAGTTTTAGGGTTCCTAATCTTACATTCTCTAGAATATAATTTTATCCATTGGTAACAGAATATATTTGAATCTGTTAAAATGTGAATGAAAATTGTAAGCCTGGAGTATATGTCACCTTATACTGCTTACAAAGCAATCATACAAACTATGGGCTTGCTTGAGTCTAGGCAGCATCTTTTTGGCTCCCTCAAAGCCTAGTTTCTACTTGTATGCTAAAAGAAATAGCTTCTATAAGCTACTATTAACTCTAAGCTAATTAATTTTTTCCTAATAGGTAGGTCTCTAATTTGGATTCATTTGAATTTTAACATGGTTTGTATGATATCACCATTATCCATCAAACAATTCTGCATTGTATATATTTTTAATCTGGTAAATCTGTAGTATACTCTGTTCCAATGAAACAAAGAATTCCTTAAAAACATCGTCCCAATAAAATATCAGGAGCCTGGAAACTATAGTAGCCTTTATATACTTAGTAATAGCAAAGAAATTACTAATCCATTCAGCAGTTTCTGGAGCATCTAATATTCGTACTGTACCATTCTGAGTGATGACACAGAAATCAAGATGAATAAGGAGGGAAAGGAATCTAACTTTGCTAGGTTCTTTAAATCAGTTACCTCCCTTACCACTTAATCTTCTCAATAACCGGAGATATAGGCATTTTATAGGGAAGAAGGCTGAGGCTTACAGAGCTTAAATACTAAGCCTGAAGTCACACAATCTATCAGAAAGTGAAAGAGCTAGAAACTGAAAATGAGATTGTCTGAATTCTAAGTCTATGCTCTTTTCATCATGGTATAACTGAAACCTTGAGAAAGTCTCCAAGGAGCCTAAATTCCAAGGAGAGAGATAAATCATGTACATAAATAATAACAACAGTACATAATAGAAAGCAATAACTGCCATGACAAAGAAATGACTGAAGCATTTTGTAATTCTGAGGAAAGAATACTATACACTAAATAAGGGACGGCTTCATAGAGGAGGCATTTGAAGAGGACCCTGAAAGATGAGCAGAAGTTGGCCAAGAGGAGATACAATGAAAGGCATCCAAGCAGTGTGTCTTAAAGACGGGAGATGGTAAAACATAGGGTGCATGTTAAAACATTATGCTATAGCACAGATGATTTAGAGGGGACTAGAAACAAAAGATAGAGCTAGGAAGAGAGCCTGGGGTAAAGTCTACATGCTAGGTATTTGTGAGGAGCCCAGGTGAGAATGTTGTCCTTCCGTTTTTTCCACATCTTTGAGCATCCATTTCTTTTTTTTTTTTTTACAACCAATTTCTCAATGGCTCTTGTCTTCATTGTATCCACTATCCACCTATTTTAATACCTTACCTGTAACACACACATTCCTTAAACTGCTG